AACAAACGTATTGTGAACTCTAGCACCATGTGCGGTACTGTTTCCGCCGCTTCAACATCTCATTTGATCCCATAAGTAATCACAAAGATCGCAAATGTTTTCCCACACGTTCCATCAGATCTAATCTGTCACATTCATACGCGAAACACACACGGCTTGTGCACGCGTGGGAAAAAACCACACAGCTTGTGTTTTTTGTGTGCCAGCATGCACCACAAGTCGAATCAGATGTTGAAACGCAAATAAGTTTCGATCAATTGACTTTGGTAAACAGGTGCTCGGGTAGGTAACACTTAAACAGCAGTTTCGGTGGGTTCAGTTTCCGAAACAATAACTCGAGATGGCTCAGTGGTAGGAGCACGAATTTGCTGATCAGAAGGTCCGTGGTTCGAACCCGATTTTTGCCTCTTGACTTTCCCTGTCTAGGCTTGGACAACCTGACAGTATCCCAGTCCTCGTGCTTCCTTTGAATGACATGGCAGTTAGGCACCAATAAGGTACTACAGCTGAACGAAAGTCTTTTTTATCATATCCACAAGAACTATGAGCTTTTCGCTTCTGTCAATTTTCGCATCACTGCAGGAAATCCACGCTCATTCCACACGAGGTTCAACTTTCATTTCATTCCAATTTGATCAGATGCCCACAAGGTTGACCGGCATACATCGATCGGTCGCAATTTCTGCGCAATGAGCTTCCGTGAAATTTCAAGTTGGAACAAATCTGCAGGCCTAGGTGCGATCTACCGAACAACTCTAGGAGACATACCGTGATTTATAGAATATCAGCGAAGACCTCAACGTAGATAGCCAGCCGACCACGTGAGAGAGCGATTCTTCGATTTCTTGCTGAGCTCTGTGCCTCGATCAAAATATGCCACATAAAAATAATGTTAGTGGATGAAAAATTTCCTAAGCTCGTAGGAACAACGGTCAATGTTAGAAGGAAAACTGCTTTCTTAATACTGCGTATTTACTACGCATATTATTACAGCGCAGCAATTTTGTGCGAAAAGTTTTGGCCTTGACAACGCAGTGTGTAATGTAGACAAGTTAAGAACCGGAGCTTCCCAAGACTACGGGTCCCTCAACTTGATCATAGAGGTTTACTAAATTCAACATTCACATTTGGACGGTTGTGTTGACCAAACTGGCGGCGCCTCAAATGCTCAGTCACAAGTAGCGATTGGGAACAGTCTAATCACGGCAGTTGTTTTCAGCTAATCTCCAAGGGTGTTGAAGCTGTAATTGTGTAGTGATGTCCCACTAGTCAAGTCACCGCCACGAAGAGACTGGACCTTACCGTGGTGTGACGGTTTGTGCACCTCAGCAATCGATTGAGCTATTCTGGGGGTGTCCGCGCGACAATCACAGTTTCTCATACCAGGTTAGAGGTCTGACAAACAGTCTCCTGCCCCTCCGGGTTGGGGGTTGGATCATGTGGCGATTCGTTCCGTAGAAATGGTGACGTATTTGCATTTCCCGCCACACACCCCTGCCTTGTGATTAGGCTTTTGAGCCAAAGGCTTTGGTTGAGGACCCTAACCGTCCTCTCGTCTGGGTGTAGTTGCCATGGCAGTATCCCAGCGCACGCAAAACCATGGTACTTACGGCAGTGAAGCATTGGTGTTGAACACTGATGTCATGCAGTCGATGATGATCACACTCACCATAAGTTAGTGGTTAGAACGGAAAAACAAAACACAAGGAGTCAGTGGGTTGGGCCTTCAAATTTTCGCTACATTTTCTCTCACCATTTCCACTTCAAACCAGAGTTTATTCCCCCCACCTTTTTAGTGATACGGTTAAATAGACGAACTCTTGCGTCATCGAGGGCAAAATAATAGTCAGTTGGACTAAGACTGACTGAAGTATAAATGAGCGAAGCAAGTGATGGTTCGGACGCCGCGTCACACTCCAAAAACCAATACGCAGGAAGACACTCTATTCGTACATTATATTACTCAGCACGCGATCTAACTTTAAGAAAATTCAACAACTACACAAACTACCTACAGAGAAAGTTAAGAACAATTCACAAATTCCGGGAGAACCAAGATCTCGATCGGTGCAAAAGTAGATCCGGATGCATCTAACTGGAAAGCTTATTTTACCTTCGATTTATCACACAAATTACTTGGCCGTTGCGTTAATTTTTCACACCACTTCTTTCTGTTCTGACAGCAATTTTTGGTCCCTAATAGTGTGTGTTCTCTTGGACTGCGGTGACCTTACTAGGCACACTTTATTCACACAAGCCATGTTAGGGTTGTAACAAGTCTTATTTGCACGACTGTAGAGCTCGTACGTTTTATGTTACGTTTGATCGTTGTATTATCAAGATTCTAGCTAAATACTGTCCAATCCGGAAGCATATCGTAACGACAGTCGAGCATTTCCGACACGCAGTGGAGACCGGTTCTGGAGAGGGAAATCCGTCTCTGCCACAGCATTTCACTTTCCGGAATTCTGCTGTCCGACAGAAACTCTCCATGTGACCCTACACAGCTTCAACTCAGCTGTGCTCAAGAAACTGAGCTGACGCAAAAAAGAGTACAACAGGATAGGTATGAAAACTATCGCCCATGCAGTCAGCTGTTTGGTGGTAAGCTTCCTCTTATGCTCTTGTGATAGGGACACTATGCAGTTGAAACTCCCCTAGGTAAGAAAATGATAAAGCACCAGTGAGTGACCCCCAAGAACGCGAGAGCTCCTTCAGTGTACGACGAGTGCAATGGCAGTATAGTATCTTGGATAAGCAACATTCAAGACGATAGGCTTTGGATTGGGACATTCAGGCTCGACCCAGACCAGCTACGGAGCCGGTCAAGGTATGTGGACCACTCAGTTTGGCTAGTTTAACTGCATTGGAGGATCTAGGAATATAATGTCCACGAGTAGACGGATATAAGCAACTTTGATTCATATTGGTCACCAAGATATGGTCCGCGGCATAATGTGAAATGACCGATCAACCTGGGTTGAAGCGATCAACCGCACAAACTATTGATGCGAGAAGATCGCAAAAGGCTTCCAATGATGCGGTAAAGTGAATTAAAGGAGCAGACATATCCGAACCATGCACCCATACCCAAATATGAACAGAGTGTGCATTATTGGACAAAACGATCCAAATGAGTCCGAGACTCGGATACATCAGAGTCGTAGTATGTCGAAAATACTTTTAAAAAAATGGTTCCAAGTACCGATTCTGTTCCTAAGGAATCTTCAGGTGACATACGGCCAGGTATGTAGAATCAGAAGGAAGAAAATGGAGAGGATGCTACAAGAGAGATCCTCATTGGAGTCACAACGGGTTTGCAAACTAACTGGAGACTCGACTGAACATCAGATGTTGACGAAGACTCTCCCCGTGCCAGTTGGGGTGATATTCAGGAAGACGAAGTATTTTTTTCTACAGACACCACTGTAAAACCCTACACAACAGTCCACTACCGGTTTTGCCCTTCGGATATAAGGGACTCATCACGTGGATAAGGTCCCCAAATTTCCATCAGTATTTTCTAAGGGAGTCTACGTTAGCATCAAATTAATTTGCAAATCCACTTGCGTACCAATTAACGTTCCATTTAGAGATACGATTCATGGATACGCTGGGAGTAGATCAACCAAATGAACCCTAAGGTGCAAAACCGAACAATAGATTGCTACCTACGAGTCTTGTTATAAGAAAATATGGTTTCTTCATCCAATGCCCGAAAAAAAAACTCCACGAGAGAGGATGATAATTTCTGTTAGGGAGACAACATTTTCGGTTAAAACATAAACGAAGGAAAAGTCAATCCGACAGGACAAAATGATGAGTGAGTAAAATCCGAAAGTCAATGGGTCAAAAGTCGATATAAAATCATCAGGTTCCTACGCGCTTCCATTTGGTCTTCTGCGCACTAGGTGATCGACAAACCTAGCAAATAAAAGGATAAGGGAAGTAGAGGTTGGGTGGATGCGTGCAGTATTGGATCAGCACACAGGAGTGACTGAGCTAAAAAACTCGGCAGAGGTAGAAGTATAAAATCCGAACCAAGTAAATAAACGCGATACGTGAATATCAAGCTAGCTGTTTTTGTGAGCACTGAACGAGTGAAACATCATCAATGTGCTGACAAGTGACGTCTATGAGTCACATGATTTGTGTGGATTGATATCGACACACGGGAAGACAATTGGCATCTCAATGTGAAGTTAAGAGTTCGATTGGTGGAGAATATCCTGAACGACGCTTGCATAGTACCATTTTGTACAGTCATCAACGAAAATTTTGGTTTTCCGTGCTTGATCCAGACCGGTGCAGAATTGGGCAAATTTAGACTTGGTATGAACATGATGAGGAGATAGACAAATACACTCATTTGGAAATCATTTTGGTTTTCACGAGACTCAACTGAATCCCTCGTTTATGGTATTTTTCAAATGAATGTGCTATGGGGCGGCCTTTGTGCAGCGAATTCAGTTGAAGAATATCATAAACGAGAGATTTAGTTAAATCCCCTCTGAAGACCAAACTGATTTGCAAATGAGTGTATTTCTCGAAAACAGTCCAATTGAGGTTCAAGTAGAACATAAGGTTGGCGGAAACTCGCGGACTGAGCCCCAAGAAGGGCGAAACCGGTCGTGGAGTGTCGAAGAGTTTCCAGCAACCTTGTGAGTAGCTTCCATTATGATGAAAAAGTGTTCTGCTACCATCACTGTGATGTGACTCTTTGATAAAGTTCGTAGAACCCTCCCTACACCGTGGGCTGCTAGAAAAGTCTGATGGTTTTTATCCCCAGTATATGAGTCAGCAATTACAAAAGTTCGTTTTCCGAGATCGGTAACTTACAAGAACCCATGTAATGAGGAGACGAAACATATACACTACCCAGAAAGTACTACAAGAAAAGGGGATTACTCGTAGTCGTTGGCTAAGCAGAGGTGACGGGAGACTGCCTTGAAATACAACGAATACTGTCTGGGTATGCATGCTGTTAAAACGCACTCACTTTTATTCGTGGATAAAGTCCGGAATCCACGATGGCGGGCGCTCTTCGTGTCTTGTTTTGCTGGTGGGACGCGGTGGCCGGTTTCCTCTCCCACCACTAGCCCAAGGAGCGCCCGCCATGTGTCCCGATCCATAGTGACCGAATTCCGGAAACGGAGGTCTGGGGCCACCAAACATTCTCTAGAGATGCAGAGCATGGAGAAGTGGTTTATTGTCATGACAGGAACTAGATAATGAGCAAATGTAGGCAATATGGAAGCGTAGTACACAGTGTCTAAGTTTACATAAACTTGGTAATGACAGGAGAAAATAGAGTTGCCGGGCGTTTGTGAAACCTAAACTAGGATAAGGGAGATCTGGAACAAATTCCCACGGATTTGCGACTGATTAGCAGTAGCAGTGTTAGAAACAGCTGGATACTCAAATGTCCCATTAAAAAATGACCAAAAAAAGTATGGTGGAGTTGGTAAAATGCATGAAGCCATGAACACACGATTAGCTTATCGTAAACAGCGAGCAAGTGGTGAGAACGTACTTGATGGGGTCCAAATGGTGGTGGTGGTGGCTGGAAAGGCATGTATGGATATCCATCGGGCGGGTAAGCACCCCTGGACCAGCGCGCGTCTCCCATCAAATATGGTGCTCCATATCTGAAGTACCTGTATGAGTTTGGTCCGCGGAACTGAATATAACACTAATGAACGGGAGGAGAGAAGAATAGTTCCGGATGTAGCCGGTCCGGAAGTACCACCAACGACAACCTTCCAGAAAAATTTACACCAAATACAGCGTGTGGTAAACCATTTTAGAGGGTGAAAAACAGGCCTACCTACCGATTAAGGGGGAGGAATTTGACTGTCAGTACAGAAGAAATATGCATCAAAGCAAAGCGAAAGGTCAACTATGTAAAGGGTCACCGAATCGTCATGATCAGCTATAAAAACCGCGTACTTGCCGTACGGTAGTTATAGGTGCCACAGTTCTGTTCGCCGATGGTTTGGGCAGATGGGGTAGATAGCTAAGCATTAGATGCGGTAGCTTATATCAATATTGTGTAAATACAGGGTTGTCAACAAAATAAGGTGGCAATTCTCAAGGGATACGGGGCTACGTAACAAGATAAGCACGGTATGTTTATTGGGAATGAAGTCGTTGGATATCCGCGAATGACCGCAAACCGATCTGAGAATGTCCACATTTTCCCGGTCAGTCAGTTTGTCGAATATTGTTATCGGTTGAGTTTTTTACCGGAAGTCGAATGGGGATGATCGATCACGCCCACACACCACTTGTCTGGTCAACTATATCGGTTACGCTACTAGACAGTTTCCGAGGATGTCGAAATAGCACCAACCGGACTCGCTACAAGTAAGTGATAGATGGCCAAACAGCGTGATCTGTAGTTGCTTTATTGCGCTCATCAGATCTGTGGCACACAGTTGGTTGACCGGTCACCACAAACCCATACGAAGTCCCCAACTTTCCTTATGGGTTGGCGTGGCTGGCTTCTTCATGGGTTAGAAAGCCAGTACATTAAAGCGGCAGAGAGGTTGGTGAAAATACATTGATCCGAGAGTGTGACTCCATTAGATGAGCATTCATTCAGAGTGATTAGTCTACGATGCGACCAAATCACCTTACCCACGTCGTTTGGCCTAAAAGACGCCCTGTCACTGAAAACTTGGGATACAAGTTCAACCTCCTCTGAGAAATTAAAAGCACCGTCTTGGCGACGAAACTACTCACTATTTCCCCAACTTTTGCAACTGGAAGAGTAAATACGGCAATGGTGAATCGTAATGATTCTGACACCTGCGCCTGCCTAATTCTGACTAAAAGGTGCACTTAATATTAGCCGACAACAATTTACGAGAAGCGCCATTTGAGATTAAAGTCAATGATGAGGAGCGCTTGTTAACTGATTATATTAGGAAGAGGTACTACGACCATCCGACAGCCCAGCTTTCACATTGCTCCAAAAATAGGAGAAACAATGGGTTTCAAATCTCACAAGTGAACCCACAAGGGTTCATGTACTTACCCACCACGATGCCTATCCCGGTTAACTCGGTGTATCGGTCACGTTTCGACAGCGATTTCCCACCCATCAGACTCATGTAACCTTTGAGAATGGAATATTTCCTCGTGTTGGTAATCACATTAGCGTACTAGTCGTTTCGGCTTTTGGACGTTCTACTGGCGTCTGGCGACAGAGCATGTAAGCTAGGCTTGAGCAAGCTGACGTTTCAGCTCTCGTGCTTCTTTCGGGTGGCATGGTAGGTAGGCACAGCTAAACGACGGGACACTAACTTCTACCCATTCATTTCCTCGGCAAAAATCACAGAAGATATCGCGCGCGGCCTTGATGCGTAAATAACTTCTTACGCGACTGATAAACTCCCGGTCAAATTCCGCGAAGCGAACCACTATGTCTTTGGCAGAACTCAAGTAAAGCCAAATGTGTCGATTAGTGTTTGTCACTTTGGAATGCATCGCTCAAGCCCAACTGCTTTTTAAACCTGACGTTCGTTGTAAAGATGACATTTCAGTTACACCGCTCGTGTGCATGATGGTTCGGAAATGCGCAAGTGTTGCTGCCTGGACGGACGAATCATGTATTATTGTCCAATATTACGCAAAGCGTAATTGAAAAACTGCCTATTGTTTTACTGCGATGTACTACTTCCCTCACAGCGCATAGTCTGCTCCCCTTTCAAGATGCTTTGCAAGACACTGCAGAACAGATATCCTTCGTTTTTGCAGAGGGATGAAATCGAAAAGGCTGGACGGAGTTTGGGAAACTATTAGAGCATCAGCTGCACAACGTTCCGACCACGATGAGCAGTCTTCGAAAGTAGCCAAGTAATCGAAATTAACTAAACAATGTTCCAAGTCATCTGGATCGCTTGCTCCGGAGTAAGCATTCTCACTTGTTTGTCTGATTGACAGGAACAATGTGGGCATCCGCAGGATCGGTTGACACTGAGGCTGTTGTCATCAAGTGTTTCTACCTGATTGTGCGAATAGGCCTAGACGTTCGTCGTTCTGATTGACAGCTGCGCTGCACGTGAATGACTATGGTCTCAGCACAACGACAGATCTCACCGAGTGCCAACTGACAGAGTAGCTGTTGATCTGTACTGCTGCTCACAACCATTGGAAGAAGAATCATCGTTGCGCAAATGGCTTGACTGAACTCGTCAAGCAGAACGTTGTTCTCTCTGTTTAACAGTGTTGTATTGATTGCGGTAGTTGCGCGTGTCGTTCATGTCCACTAATGCGCACATTCAGTTGTCCACTGCTCTTCCCTTACATAGGTTGCGTCGCAGTGCACACAATCGATCTCATAGACAGCCTGGTTGTTCAGTAGGTGGCATGGTGTCTTTTGGTCATTTGTGAATGCCGCCGGGACGTCCGTCTTTTCTAAGACTACTGGCTTGCAATATTTGACTAATAATCAATAATTAGTGAAAGGTTTCGCATTCAGTACTCAAAGGTACTTCGGGAGCCTAGGAGCTCTCATTGACTACCACTCATCACCTCTGAATGTGATAGAAACACACTAGGGGCCAGCCCAAACACTAGAACAACCTCTACCCACAAATCGATGCTGGATTGCGACCAAGAAAAAAGCAGAATTTTGTGTTGAATGAAAGTAGCAAGCAATCGTTTGCTATGTGTGTACAAATTAACACATGTGGTCATTTCCACCAAAATTTTTCAGGCCGTATACCGAGACCCGCCAATTGTCAAAAGTTCATAAAAACTCAACTGGTTTCTGCGGCCGAGGTTGGCCTTTGTCCACCGAAAGAATTCACACGGATAGTAAAACTCAACCGACCAACAACTACTGCAAACAGATCTTGTAATAACTGTCATGGTGATTCAAAATGTTTCACACGTTCTGTTTTCAACTTTCGCCTAGTGAATAGACACAGCTTGCTAGTAATATGGTTTCCTTCTCTCTCATTTTTTTAATAACCTTTCCCCTTAGTTACAGCTGTGAAGTCAGGCCCCGTTTGATACCAAGGAAAGTAAGTGTTTTGCGAATGGTGTTCTGAGCCACAGAATCGTCTTAGGGATGACGACCTTACACAGAAAGTTGCTGACTAGAGAGATCGATTTCATTTCAAGGTGTACTCGAGCGTCAAGGTAAATCAGCGATGCAATACCCTGCCTATTAAAGAGGCCACTCTGAAAGGCTCCACGAGCGATGAAACTGTATATAACTACGTCTAACTGGGACCATAAAACTCAATACAGTAGTGATTCAATTGCGCGAAGAAAAGGTGGGAATTCGAGAGAGTTGGACGGTTGCTATATACACAATATTCTTGTTTGTTTACGGGTAGACGCGACAATAAAGCACAATGATTTCTTAACCATGACAGTAGACTAGCGGCCGCAGTCAGTTCTATTAAAGTAATATTGTAGAACGCTCGAGAATGCATCAGACAATGCATCAAGACAATTATGCGCAGCGGACAACAGCATTTCATGTGCTTTTTCATGGTTGGTCGCTCAAAATCAACCGTATCAGATGTTGCAACCTAGTCAAGCATCCATGGGATGCCGCTAAAACCTGCACTATGTGAAATTGTTCAGAAAAGCACAACTTTCCTCAAGGTTAGGAATGCATAGCTCAACACTTTCTTACTAAGCTCTACAGAAAAGTGTTACAAGAGTACGGCTCAAAGCGTCTGCACCCAATAGAGAACAGCACGATTTTCGGTGGTCCAGGGGAGCACTCTGTGCAGTATATTGAATCTCTGATTCTAAACAGTAGGAAAGGACTGACCGAAATTCGTCAGCAGGTCACGTGGGACGAAACCAGACCAGAGTAATCCACGAATTCACTGCGTCCTTGTTTCCTACACGAACACTAGTTTCTCCAGTAAGAAACAAATCGCTCAACACCCTGTCGCTGCACAGCTACCGCGTGACCCAAAGAAAGTACAAGGGCCTGAGATACTTTCATGTTGCACAAGCTTAAACAGGAAGAACAGAAAGGCTGGGGTTGATTCCGAACCGCAAACCTTCCTATTACTATTGTCCTACCTTAACTACTGAGCTATCTCGAGCGCCCCAGCTCCAGCCCCATCTACTCACAAAAAGTCTATCTAACATAGAAAGAAAGTGGAATCCAAGTCATAGAAAAGAATGGTTAATATGCAGGAGCTGAGTCTAGTCTGAATCTCAGAAAAGATGAAATCTATTGGGGCAGTAGGTGGATTGAGACCACATTCTTATGAAATAATTAGACGCTGTTATTTTCAACCAAGGAGTTCCGGTGATAGTGCATCGTGTAAAGAAAGCGGTGATTGCTGCGAAGGTGTGTTGTTTTCCACGTCTTTGTGAGGGGAGGGTATGGAAACACGGCAATACCAGTAATACGAAATGGCACCTAGCTGCCGACAAGCATTCACGTGATTCCATTAGGTGATATTTTCAATTTTCAAACAAACAAATCGTGCCCGTGTTTTCTCTGCCAGTCGGAAAGGTCGACAAAATGGGGTCAGTGCGTCTGACGTTCAAATATAAAACATAAGTAATGAATATGCCTTAGTATTTGGTCAATCACGCGCCGAGGAGCAACTCCAAACTAGCCTGGTGGGACACATTCCGAAGCAACAGAGCGTAAGCGAATTTCCCTTAGCTTCAAATTTGGTAGTCATTTCGCTACCGGTCCAACAT